TATCATTTATTATGTATCTATTATAGGTCAATGAGATGGGGTGACTGGTGGATGAAGTATCATTTATTATGTATTTATTATAGGTCAATTAGATGAGCTGACTGGTGAATGAAGTATCATTTATTATGTATTTATTATAGGTCAATGAGATGGGGTGACTGGTGGATGAAGTATCATTTATTATGTATTTATTATAGGTCAATTAGATGAGTTGACTGGTGAATGAAGTATCTTTTATTATGTATTTATTATAGGTCAATGACATGGGCTGACTGGTGAATGAAGTATCATTTATTATGTATCTATTATAGGTCAATGAGATGGGGTGACTGGTGGATGAAGTATCATTTATTATGCAATTATTATAGGTCAATGACATGGGCTGACTGGTGGATAATGTATCATTTATTATGCATTTATTATAGGTCAATGAGATGGGGTGACTGGTGGATGAAGTATCTTTTATTATGTATTTAGTATAGGTCAATGAGATGGGATGACTGGTGGATGAAGTATCATTTATTATTATGCATTTATTATAGGTCAATGACATGGGCTGACTGGTGGATGAAGTATCATTTATTATGTATCTATTATATGTCAATGAGATGGGGTGACTGGTGGATGAAGTATCATTTATTATGCATTTATTATAGGTCAATGAGATGGGCTGACTGGTGGATGAAGTATCATTTATTATGCATTTGTTATATAGGTTGATGAGATTGGGTGAATGGAGTATGATTTATTATGCATTTATCATAGGTCGATGAGATGGGGTGAATGAAGTATAATTTATTATAGGTCAATGAGGTGACTGACTGGTGGATGGAGTTTAATTTATTATGCATTTATTATAGGTTGATGATATTAGAAGCTAGGCCTAGATGCAAGGTTAAACAATATGAAGTCATTGAAAATGGGGCAGACTACTTATTACGCCATTTTCTGATAGTCTCCAAGATAACCCATTTATAGATCTGAATATGGATTTAAATACATTTAGTTGATGCATGTCCATTTTATTTTATTTATTTAAAATATAGTCTGGAGATGATCCAGGTGTAGATACTGTATATTATGCATCAGCTCTAGGTTACCACTTTACCAAAAAATGTGTTTTTATTTTTAAGAATTAAATAAAATGGAGGCGCATCAGTTTGAAATTAAATAAATCTATATAAAAAATGTTTATATTGGTATTGTCTTCTATATTAGTTGTTTTTGATCATAACTGACTTCCAAGAACATTTATCAAGTGTAATAATTGATTTGATCATTCCATGGACTGGAATTCATACATGTAACACACTAAACATTTTATAGGTGTTACATAATTTTGTTTTAAACATAGTGACCCCTTAGAATAGGCTGAGTTATGATGAAATGATGTCAGTTAATAATGACATATCATTAAACTACAATACAAATATTTTTGCAACTCAATCAAACCTGAAAAAGAAGCAATGTGAAATAAACAAAAGGACTAAAACATGAATCTATTTTTCAATGAAATCCAAAGGCCATGATAACAACTGGGAATATATATTACTAGTATATCATATCTGGGGAGTAGGCAGCTAGCCTAACCCTTATTTAAATCTATGCTACCCCCATGATTATGTGGATTAGAGACCACAAAATGTAAACATTTCCAAAATACTGAAGTGTAAACAAATGCAGTATTGTAATTTTAGTATGTAACTGTATTGAAATTGCTTTAACATATTTTCTCAAATGCAGTTATATATGTATTTATTGTAATTGAATTAGGCCTAACATATTTTCTCTGAAATAAAATCAAATGGTTGGAAGTAATCATTTCAATGTATCCCTAGCATGAACATGTATCACCTACAAGTTTGATTTTATTATTCTGAAATAAAGAATTGAGATATTTATCAATTATAGACTGATAGGAGTAATTGAATATTTAAGAAACAAAATGTCAAAATTCATTAGAATAGCCAGCCACTGTTCAAAGATTCTGAGATAATCATTAAAATTAAAGGATTATCATAAAATAAAATCTGAACTGTTGGACTCTAAGACACAGGACTACACAAATGATTGTTCTTTTGACCTTGAAAAACACCAAACATTATCCTATGGGTTGAGAAAAATATAGAGTTTATTCCATGGCAAAATATATTCCCTTGTTTGGTATCAATATTCTAGTTTCATACTGAAACCCTCTCTTATTGAGCAACTCTGTTGTAATCATGAAATAAATCTAGTATCCAAGGGTTGAGATACATATTGAGTTTATCCCCTGAGAAGATATGAAATAATCATTAAAATCAAAGGTTTGTCATGAAATAAAATCTGAATTGATAGACTAGAAAAAAGGATGATATAAAATATTGTGAGCAAAACACTGTGATAGTTTTTAAGAAAATTGTTTCAGTGTTCATATAATCATTATAATAGTTGAATCTGTGCTTACCTTTTTGCTAATGCTCTTTCAGCCTCCCAAAATGTTATTGTAATACTATTGATGATTTAGTGAAATAAAATAAACTGTAAATAAGAAATGCTTATATCTCAGAGTTATTATTATTATTTTATTATTAGCATCTTCAGTGATATGGATTTTTGACATGTGTCAATCAAGCAAGTTTCTACATTCTATGGGCCATTGCATTCACATGGAAAACACATTCTTACTGTTTTAAAAATACAACCCATAAGAAATAGATAAATTTGTATCCATTTTAAAATCATTTTCCAGTTGAAATTGTAGACGTCTTTCATTAAATTTGATAACCTTGTCACACAGATATTCATAAAAGTAACTTCAAACTAACACCAACCTAAAATCAAGAAAATGTTGTTTTTTTTATTTTCGACCATGACTGACTCGATCACTCCATTCTACGACAAATCCAATGATGATGAATTGAAAAATTCGTGCTGTTAAAAATGATATGCTGAATTTCAATTACGTCTAATAAATAACTTAAAAATTGGTGCATTTACCATTGCAGATGTGAAAGAATTAATCACTGGGTTGGCGTGATCGGGTCCCAATTGGGTTACAATTAATCGCAATTTTGTTAAGTTGCGATTAACAACGCGAATTTAATTTTATTTTATCGATGGTGCAAGGTATTCCCGTGAATACATCGTTGAAATTTAATTATTTTTTAGAAAAAAACAAAATAATCAAGCGGTGAATTAAAACCTCTGAAGACTGCAATAAAACGTGCGATCAGACTTAATGTTGTATTGTCCAATGTCCGTATTTATTATTTTATTTTTAGGATCTTCGGCGTTGTGGATTTTTGACATATCTCATTATCTGTCTCTGTTTATATCAAAGTTCCTGCCACCAAATAGCCTTGGATGCAGAATCAAATAGTTCAATTATCAGAAGCTTGGTAGAACAAGATGATGCGTCCCATTTAAATTGATGAAACAATCGTGGGTAAATCGTTTTATTCAATCGTTTTTACACGTTTTATTAATAGATAACTCCCTTAAAACGTCATTCAACATACATTATAATAAATATCTATGTCTTAAGTTACATTTAAAGCTGTTATATTTGTTTCTGTTTCGTTGCAGACGTGATAAAATTAATTATTGGGTCAAAATTAAAGTTTGGTCGCGCATTTGGGTTACAATTAACCACGAGTTACAATTAACCAAGCGAATCCAATTTTGTTCAAAAAAAAAATTTTAATGAAATAATATTACGAAACTGATTACATTTCCTGAATTCCCCATCCTTCCCCATCACAAATATCTCGTCAAAACGTTTTTAAACCGAAAACTTTTCATTTAAACGAAAAATGAACAATGAATGCGATCGAAGGATAGATAAATCACGACCATGATATAATCATGTCAGATCATTTTTCCGAGTGGCCCATTTTCTCTCAAAACGGGATAATTATGTACAAAGAGCGGTAAAATCGACCACTAAACCAAGAAATCGCCCCCGAGGGACCTACTTATTACTTAAGATTATCGAATTTGGTGCACTTTTATGAGTCGCCATGTGGGTTACAATTAACCACATGCGCAACTTCAGTTAAGCATGACTTGACCAAAACGTCTTTATTTTGAATGAAATTCACCGTGACGATTGTTTAGGACAAGGATACTCTACATAAAAAACCTTTTTGATTTTTGATCGATATTTTTTATTTAATGCACACTTTTACCATTTTTGGTCGCAGGGGTGCAATTAGCAATGGCATTAGTCTCGCGTGGGGGGTCAGGAAAACAGAAATTTTCGCTTATTTTTAGATTTTTCTGAAGTATAGCTTTATTATACTCAAATTAAAGGCAATTAAGAGTAGATTGCAAATATTGTATCTTTTTTCTGATTCGAGCCTCGTGAAATTCAAAATGGCCGTCTAATGTACGATTTCGCAATAATTTTTCGATCACTTCAAAGTATGGCTATATTGTACTCAAATTGAAGGAATTTTGGAGTAGATCACAATTATGGTATTATTTTTCAGATTTGTACCTCAGAAAATTCAAAATGGCTGCTTTGCAGGAATTCACAATTCTAAAATCTAAAGTAATGAGTATAATTGATTGGAATTCGGTAATTGATATTTTGTTCGTTGGGATTTGCTACTCCGCGGAGTTGCCATTATCTAGTTTATTTTTATAAACAACTAATATCTTTAACATTCTTGAGTAAGTACAAAACATGGCACGGTGCAATGGCATTGTGCCATGGCATACCCTATGGTGCCATATGTTCTAGGACAGTATTTCTCGTCAAATCCTTGTTAATTTATGGAGATCATGATATCTTAATGTTATCCTTGAGCCTATGGCATTCCACGTTAAAAAAGAGTAAGAGACTGAAGCATAATCTTTGTAAGAATAGACGTTTGTAAGTGGATAAATCTGCAAGAATTTGACTTGAAACAGTGTCCTAGGGTGTGATAAAAATCAAAAAAATATAGAATTTGACTCTAATAGTGTCCTCAAGCCTATGGCAACCCAAATCAAAGAAGAGAAAGAGACTTAAGGATCTAATTAGGCCCTGGGCTCAGTGCAATGTGGAATGACCATTCCTTGAATATGTTGCTCTCCACAATTTGCACGAGATGCAGAGCATCCAGTGTTAATTTTAGGAAGCAACGGCTGAAAGGAATGGTCATTACACAATGCAATGAGTCTTGCAAAATATTTTCTATCATTTGACCTAAAAGATTTGAAATCACTAAAATAACATATTTTCAATGAAACTTTTTGCAAGGGTCAAGATAGCAAACAATCAATTATAATCTGTTGAGTGAACTTGTCACCTTGGCAACCACATAGGGAATGAGCTTGGATGGGTTTTTGGACTTTCATGCACTGCATTATATGAAATACTGTGTTCACTGAAATTGGACAGACCTTGTCTAGCTATGTGAATCAAGAATAATGCTTGTAAGGGGAGACATTTGTAAGGGCATAAAATATAGGCATATACCTTACTGATAACAACTAAAAAAATATTATTCGTGGTTTCGGTGTAATTTCTCAACCGTTTTAAATTTCTATTCAGAAACTGCACTTTGCACTAATTAGAGAGAATACAGTAATCCTAAAGCAAAAGCATGGATACTTACCTGCAGCACTGGAGAGTCTGGCCTCCTCCTGCACAGCATTTGCCATAGAGTGATCTGCCACCTTCACCATGGCTTCCCCTATCTCAGTCTGTCTTGTGGTTAGGGTTGTGTTACAAACTGCAGGCAAATTCAGTATTGCAAGGATGTCCCTAGTTTTGTAAGCCCCCAATCCACTGTGAATCATGGCTAGCATAAAATGAAAATGGAATGTAAATACATATTGTTCGACTGTAAAATGATAAGGATCCAGATCCAGATCCAGAAGTTATCCAGAGAGGGGCCCAAATTTCAAATCAAAAAATTTGGGAAATTGAAGGCCCATTTTATAGATAATTTGGCCTAAAAGGCATAAAATAAATAGAACAAAAAATGTTCTGCCAGTGTACATGCATACATGTGCAGTTTACAATGCTGATACACTTGTATTGTATCTCATATACCTTTTATATACTCACGTAAACTATAGTCCTAATTTTAGAGATTTTTTTATTACATACAATTTTTTTGATATTTGATGTTATGCTTTTATATCCCTTTTTGTCAGTATTTGTCATATATTTTTTTAAGTTTTTCTAAATAAATAAATAATAAATTAATTAATTGATGAACATTCCAGATTTTGACCCCTACCCCCTTTGCATTGCTGAGATACTAATTATTTTCATTCTTGATCTCATTGCTCTTACCTGATGCTAGTTTTGTGTTGACATCGAACACCTTTCTCCCTCTGGAACTTATTGTCTTGGTTTCATGCATTTTTGACAAGGCTGCCTTCTTCACCTCCCCACATACACATCTTATGTGCAACCATCCCCCTAGGCCAGCCTTCATGATGCCTAGAGCATTTTGAAGATATAACCTGAACAATGAAAAATATAATTGAAACAGACAGCTTATATGTTTATGGTATCTTCTTCAACGATAGTGCTACAAGATAAATAGTTTCGCAATGAAAATTGGGAAATATTGTCTTAATGTTTATCCCTCTAACAGTTCCATCAATATATGTTTTCATAATAAATGAGGGAATATTTGTAACACCTCAACAAATCATGCTAGCAAAACCATGACATTACAGCATTATTAATTTAGATACCTGCAATTACACTTCCTGCAGACCATTTGTGTGGCCAAATATGCAAAGTCGACCACGAATCTGCAATCTTCCAATGGTGTGAGCATGCTTTTATTCTCAGTAGAATCGCAAACTGTCTCCTCTGTCCAAACATCATTAATGTTGGGCTGTAGTATGCTAGGTTGTAGGGGTTCTGCCCTTGCATAGGTATGTTCATTTTCATGGTTAGGGTATACTGATCCTAAAATATGGATCAATGCAATGTATGTAATACCAGGGCAATGTACATGAAACATGTAGATGAGTATGTGCCTCTTGAGAAATGACATTCGATACCTCTAATAAGTGTAATGGTCCTCATGAGATGATGAATTTTTCATATATGACCATACTGTCTTGCCCCCGGGAACATGTATAAAAATTCGAGTCGATATCTGTATTTAAAAGACCCTTAGGTATAGTCTTTAGACATGGTTTTTATACGTGTTCTAGGGTCCTATAATTTGACTCTGCATGGTAAATGTGGATAATCATGATGCAGAATAATATACATGTACTTAATTATGAACCATGCCTGTAAACAGGGTGTTTTATCAATCTTCATAAATTACTTTCAATAATTTTCATGGTCTCTTGTTTCTTGTTTCATATTGATTGGTAGGAGTATTAGATTAGATTAATTAGAATGAAAACATTTTATCGATACTGGCTATGGAATAGTTAGTGGAAATCGCATCTAAATAGACTAAATATTCGAAAACGTTGACAACTTGAAAATCTGATCGATTCGAATACTAGGCTAGGCCTACCCGGAAGTATTTGCCATCTAAATCCCCCTTCAATTCGAGCACTTATAAAACGCTTTAGTCTTCGAGATATCACACAAACTTACTTGAAGTCGTACTTGTTATATTTCGACTAGTCAGCAATCTACCCTGAGCTGTCTTTGTGCAAAATCTGCCAGATTTGGGCAGTCGTATCTTGTTGCGAATCATCTCAAGATGGTGGGCGGACCGGATGTTATTGTTGTTGTTGTTATGACGTAAAGCGGCACAAGGTAGTTTACGACATTAAATTGGGCTTATCGTCCGATAAAATCTCGGAAGATATTACTCAAACTGAATGTTTGACTAGTGTATACTATAATCAATATAGGAATATGCAATTCAAAGTATGTTTGCATTATTTAATGGCATTTGGTTTAGCGACAATTTCCATAGATCAGTCTTTGTAAACATGCGCACAAAAATATGCGCACTCGTCTTTTTCATTTACTGGAATACCATCTTAAACACAGCATACAGCCTGAAACAATTCATATTAAAAAAGAAATCAATCCTCTCTTTTGCCCAGTTCAAGCTTACAGGGAATATTTAGAGGTACGTGGTTTTCAAGAGGGCTCATTATTCTTGAGACAAAATGCTCCAATAACTTCACAGTTCTTTAATAATATATTAAAATCAATCTTGAGAAGTTGTGGAGCTGATACAGAAACAATTAAAGCGCATATCTTCAGGATAGGTGGAGCTACATTTTTTGTAACAATAAAAAATTACAGTGACACAGAAATACAAAGATTGGGTAGATGGAAGTCTAATGCTTTTTTAAAATATATAAGATAACATATAACAATTTAAATAAGTTTGAGATTCAAGTAACTTAGCGGTAGCAAGTTACACAATAATGATGTTCAAGATCAGTCTGATACTTAGCGGTAGCAAGTATTTGATTGTATCCTTTATAACTTTTAATTAAATGTCCAAGAAAATTATATAGTCTTAAGCTTAGCATAATTTATAAGTAACAAGTCACATAATTATAATATGTCAATTGTAAGGTATAAGTTTGATACTTAGCGGTAGCAAGTATTAGACTATATATTTTATTTATATTCAAATATGCCAATAAAATATTCATATTGTTAATATACTGGTTTTCTTGATTATAATTTTATTATTAGTGGGGCAATTGTAACTTCATAATCATAAAAACAATGAAGGTATATATAGAAGTCACAATTAGTGGCGAATAACCCCACATCAAATGAGAAATTATAAGGTAAGAACATTAATTAGCTTAATTAACTTTATTTGAATTAAGAGTAATTAAAATTGTCTTTAAATAGGCTCCCTATCTCACACACACGCTAGACAATGAAAGGCATAAATACTTATACGCCAGTATATAAATTTATGACAACATTGGATAGGGGGTCAGAAAAAGTCTAAAATCAAATATATATATTTTAGATCTATTTTTCAGAATGAATTAAGACTTATTTAGGTAGGCCAAGAGAATACTCTGAGAAAATACGAAAATAAAGCGAATACGAAACTAAAGCCTATACATGACGTCAACGGCGGGAATCATAATTTGGCGCACTTTTCAACATCTACAATAACAAGCAAGACGTAGCAAGCCATACTTCAAGCCATACAATCCATATTTCAAGTTCCCACCACCATCCCCAAAATCGCCACCTCAAATAGATTAAAGTATAGTAAGTATGTAGAGGCGAATAACCCAACATCAAATGAGAAATTATAAGGTAAGAACATTAATTAGCTTAATTAACTTTATTTGAATTAAGAGTAATTAAAATTGTCTTTAAATAGGCTCCTTATCTCACACACACGCTAGACAATGAAAGGCATAAATGGAATTTATCAATACGCTTCCGTAATGTTGCTCCGTCCGCTCCACGTGTTATTTGTTTACAAATAGACTGACGTCACTGGCTAAATCTCGTTTATCGTGAGAATTGGCATTGCCAAAATGGCTTGACCTAATCAATGGCTTCGCTACAAGAAGCGTCTGTACATTTTATGAATATCTTCAGTAAGAGGACAATATACGAAAAAATAATATTGTAAGTTCTTTATAAGGTAATCATTTTATCATTAAACAAACTTATTTGTAACATTTATACAACACCACATTTTACAATAGGTGACTTACAGTCTGAATATTTATTCAGACGAAGGATACAGTCTATCTCGACGTTAGTAAATAAGGACAACTTTGACGATGAAATGTATTTTCTGTATATTCAGTATACTTTTTTTATTTTCTATTTTTATTTCATCTGGTAAAGCTAACTCATAAAAAGTTAACCGTCTCTTTGAGGGTAAAGTCCTTCAAGACTTATATTTATAAATTATTTTAAAAGTCAATAATCATCACCGTTACTGCTGAGAGACTAGCTAGAGTCCATTTCACTGTTTTATTGGGTCAGTAGAACCCCAAAAATAAGAAATCGGGAGACCACTGTGCAATAATATATGGAAAAGTATATTCATATTGTACATGAATGGCATTTGTGTATTTCAGATTTTTTAGTTTTTTGTGCAATAAGTCTGTGCCCTCTTGTAATTTGAAGAATTTCACCCATGTTAATCTTATTGAAAATAACATGGCTGAGGAGCATCCAAATATAAGAAGCTACACACTTTATAAGCCAATCTAGAAGCAATCCAAGATATACAAGTGTCATTCATGTACAATAGAAATATATTTTTCCATATATTATTGCATAATGATATTTTGATTTCTTAATTTTTAGGTTTTACTGACGCAATTGAACAGTGAAATGGACTCTACATGCAGGATGAAGAAATGATTGATCTATCATCCAAGCCGAGAGCCTTCCCATTTGGGAGAGTGGGATACTGAACCATTCTTGTTCATAATTTATCAGACAAAATTGTTGGATGATGTATCAACCAATTATATGTGTTCTCTTTATTCTAGAGTCAGATGTCAGCAGACTATCAGCCTGTGTGGTGGACATACATAAAATACTGTATAGTCATTTCGAAATGGACCAGTGCAATGTATAGAATAAATACAGATGAGGCCAGGGTGCATGCTTAGAATTTTTCTGCATCGCTCAATTGAGTCACATGTTATTTTTCAAACAGGAATCACTCCTTCCCCACATTGTCTACATCTTCCAGTTTTGCGCAAAGAGAGCACTCACGTGCCTAGAAAAGACTGATGAGAAGATTTGTCTTGTAAAATGTATGAAAAACGAGAATTTTCTTGTTTTTATACATTTGACCAAAACATTTTTTTTACATTTGTTTTCTAGGTACATTAGTGCACTGGTTGTGCAAAAGTGAGAGATTTAGACATTGTGGGGAAGAAGTGATTCAAATTTGAAAAATAACTTGACCCTATTGAGGGTTGCAGCAAAATTCCGAACATGCACCCTGACCTCAAATCAGATTAATAGTGAACTACATGGTCATACCTTGTACTCTACTGATGATTGTCTTCATTTGAAACTTCTATCGACAGTAAGTTCCCTTTTATGTTACTTACTTCTATTAGCGGTCTCTATATTATTCAGGGCATAATTTTATCGATGCATTTACTCCTCTATTTATATGTTTTTTCTAATAATAGTGGTTATAAATATAGGTGAAGCGTCCCAGTGAAAGCAGGTCCTAGAGTTGGAACTGTTTCCAAAAGTTTTTTTTAAACATGGGCTCTCTATTGAAAGCACGTGCTTAAAATAAGGCCTATTTAAAAATGGGGTGGAAAAATTAAAAAAAACTTTGACTCAAATTAAACACTACTACTGCAGTTGGTATCTTTGACAAATGGCTGTTGGTCACATTTTGAATGTTAATGCCTTGTTTAAAATTTGTGATAACATCAGATTACGCTGTGATGTCATTTAGGGAGCAAAAATTATTTTCAAAGTCCCTCTTCTCATTTAAACCTTCTCTAAATATGCTAATAAATAAAAATAAATATAAAGAAGAAGTGTTTATCATGTTTAAAAATATTCCTGCAACATTGCTTTCAATAAAAACCAAAATTTGAAATGTCATTTTCTCTAAATCACTTCTTGTGCTAATAAATAAAAAATTGTTAAATCCTGTAAATAAAAAAATTAATTGTTAATTTTTTGTTTTTGCAGTTAGGAGTTTGAAGACAAAAACGACAAGTTGACCAGCAGCAAGAAAGCAATGTCAACAATAGATCCAATGGACTAATTAAAACTGAATCTAGAAAGTTGACACTTTGGGATTTAATATGGATTTCACATGTGAATAGGCCATCAATATGGAGCCTGAAAATGATATTGATTATGGTTCTTTGGATGTTAAGAATAACTATGATGTGTTTGGTCAAACCAAATCCGAGCATGATCCCAACATTGAACAAGACATCGAGGATCCCAGGATCGAACATAAATATATGATTGGAGCTTGTTCTGCAATGGATGATGTCAAGAAGAGTGATGATAAATTTGGTCAAACAAAATCTGAAATGGACCTCAACGTTGAACAGGACATGGGGGAACCCATTATTAAACCTAAACATAAGATGGGTGCTTCAAAGGTTGACAGTGATCTCAACATGTTTGTTCAAACAGAACCTGTCGATAATGAATATGCAAATGAGGTCAGTAATGAGCAGCAAATATTTGTTAAACCCGAACATGAAATTGATGATGAATATGATCAGTCCCCCAGTTATGAACCTGAAATGGTAATTGAAACTGAACCTGAAATTAATTATGACATTGAAAATGATCAGTCCCCCAGTTATGAACCTGAAATGGTAATTAAAACTGAACCAGAGATTGATTATGATGATGAATATTCAAAAGAAGTCAGTTGTGAATCTCAAATGCCAATTAAGTCTGAATATGATATGGACATGATGGATGTCAATGTAGAGCCAGAAATGGATTGTGAAAATCAACACCAGTTAAAGAAACAAGAGGATACTCATGATAGTGGTAAAACATTTAAATGCATGCATTGTAGCAAATGTTTCCCAAGCCAAGGTCATGTGGTTATCCATGAGAGAATCCATACTGGTGAAAAACCATACAAATGCTCGAATTGTGATAAAAGATTTACGCAGACTGGTCATTTAAAGATGCATGAGCAGGTACATAGCAGAACAGGTGAAAAGCCATACAAATGTACTATATGTGATAAGGGCTTCACACTTGCTCATAACTTAAAAAAGCATACACAATGGAAACACCCTGGTGAAAAAGTATACACATGTACAATTTGTGATGAACATTTTACAGAAGGTATAAGCTATAAAGCACATAAAAAGACACATACTGGAGAGAAACCATTCTCCTGTTCATTCTGTGGTAAAACATTCACTCATATGTCTCTATTTAAACGACATGAGAGGATCCATACTGGTGAAAAACCATTTGCCTGTTCTATATGTGACAAAAAGTTTTCTCTAGCTGGTAGCTTGAAAACACATGAACGAACACACACAATTGTAAAACCTTACAAATGCTCGACCTGTGACAAACGCTTTGGGGCGTCTAGCACATTGGCGGCACATAAAAGGGAACACTCTGTCAAAACCAAATGTACTGTTTGTGGGAAATCATTTGAACATGATTGGGAGCTAGAGTGTCACGAAGTAGTACATTCTGGAAAAACTCCCTTATATAAGTGTTCTATGTGTGACAAATCTTTTATTCATTCTTGTAACTTGCAATCACATTTAAGGTCGCATACTGGCAGTGTTGTTAAACCGTAGAATAAAATGATGTACTTCTGGTATATTGTATTGTACTATTTGTGGTAAAAGGACCAGGCAGTGTTTTGCGACTTCTTTAGGCAATATAGAAGCTATTTGGCAATGAAAGCTTCATGTTCGACCAAAATGATTTGTCAAGCTGAATGATAAAACATACAGGTAGCAACTTTGAAATATATGGAAAGGGCTGAAATAGATACATGGAATGTATCTGCAGTGACGATTAGAAACCGTAGAAGGATCATTTTGACCAGTTTTCTCAATCACATTTAAGGTCGCATACTGGCAGTGTTGTAAAACCGTAGAACAAAATGATGTACTTCTGGTATATTTTATTGTACTATTTGTGATAAAAGGACCAGGTAGTGTACTGTACCATTCCATGCATGTAATAAGCACTGATTGTTTCAAAAACTGTATTTTAATGTATAAATTCAGACAAACGAAGACATTATAGTATGTGTTTTCAACTGTATTTAATGTACAATCAAACAGTGCCATGCTACATGTGGTATTTTCCGCAGAATCATGCATCATGCATGCTGAATATGGTGGCTGAAATGGTGGTGTATGATGTCGGTGATGGTAATGCATGTTGAATGTCATGTTCTGCATATGCATAATTCGCGCAGTGGGCTGTTCTTTTTCGACCATTTTTACCAGCTACTGGCCCACTAACCATATCCGAGCATGAACAGTGGAGGTCACCTAGGCAGTTGCCATCCATCTTACGTTTCTTACGTCTGACAATGCATATTCCACATTGTTGGCCTTCTGTGAGCTGTGGGCAAGGAGGATCCATTGGAGCCTTGGCACAATGCTTGAAAAACAAATGAAGTAAACCTTACTCTCATTTCAAACACGTTTCAACAAAAACAAGTAGTGCATTTCCGCTCCCTTTTCAAATCAAGTAAGTGAATAAACGCAAGAAGCTCAGGCGCATCGAGCTCTCAATCTCAGGACTACGATAGTTCAAGTTAAACCCATTACCACGGCTTTCATTTATTAATCTGAGTGTTCTTGTTGCCGTGGTTTGGTTTAACTTCCGTGCTATGCTTTCATTTGTTGCAAATTCTCACTATCAGTTATTAATAAAACGCGCATTTACTTCCATGCGCTGCCATGGGCCACCATTATTTTTTTTGCATCAATGGTCGAATAGGCGCGAACGTTTAACATATAGGGCGGGCCACAAGATATGTCAGATCAGAAATAAGGCCCAGACTAGGTTTAACTTGTTGAACTAAGGACTACAACAAACCGCCTTAGCTTGCCTGGCTTTTTCAGAGCTCTAGACCGCCTTGGCCAGCTCGACAAAAAATATGTCACCTAAATAAGCCCAACTGCCAATGAATGTAGTAGTAGTGGGTAGTGTCTAAAGCCCCGCTATGATTTAAAAGTCATAGCGGGGCTTTGGATACTACCCGTGAATGTTTGGTTTATGCGAACTCATGATAAAATAATTTAGTTTTCCTTATTTATGAATTTATAAATTGCGTTTTCGAATATTTCATGTGTGACTGCATGTTTTGCCATCCGGTTTAACAGAATGGTTCCCTACTCTTTTGATGATTATCTCTCAGTAGCTACGGTACGGACAGGGGTTCCTAGAGATACAGGTCCAGGCCAGGGAACAATTGTTTAAAAGCAGTGATATCATCTTAAACCCTAGTATTAATTTTCTTGGGTTAAATATAGTGCCCCTGGAACAATTGGATGTCCACCGGGCCAATATCCCTTGGGTAAATGATCCAGGGAGCAAAATCTCTAGTGAAAACGGTCCGGGGGACAATATTTTCACCGATATGTTATAATGATAGCTTATACGTGAACGCAAACTTCCATTCTGCAGTGCTAGTTTTCAACATATTCCGAGACACTGCATAGGATTTTGACGTGAACGTTATGATCCTCGGGGATAAATGTTCACCTCTCTCACTTGGTTTCCAGAGACCTCAATACAACTCAGTTTTTCCTTGTATCTTTATACTCAATTGATCAAGTATAAATATTACAAAAGATCGATCTAAATCCCTAGAATATATGGCCATAGCTCTACTCATTCACGTACGCGTTCTCGAATTAAAACCTGTAATTCGCATCCGTTTATATATGTACCTTATTACGCCACTTTCCAATATAACCATCCTCTGCTGCGACTAACACCATTGAGACAGCAATGACCAGAACATTATTGCGTATTTTCCCCATCTTCACCGGCCGTTAAAATGGTTAAAACCGAATGACAACTATGCAACATTTGAAACATTTAAACCCTTGCACATATGCAACTTTTATGAGTAAACTTTGCTTGTTACCAGACCATTTTTATTTTTACCGGTTTCTTTCACATACAATACGTTGAGCTAAGTTTGGTTATTGTTCCAAATATTAATTGAATCTTAAAAGATTCATCGCTTACTCAGTACATTTAAAAATTATTTGTGTGAACTGATTAACTATTGTCAAGGTTGTAGCCATTAGGTAAGACCTAGATGTCACTTTTATTACCTAACTAATCTGTTTGCCCACTTTTATGTGAAATATCTTCTCAATGAATTAACATGTGGAATCAGATCCATAATATACCACTGGGCTATCGTAACATCGTGTCTGCATAAAGATGGCTTGCCTTCCGGTAATAAATTCTCGAAAAGCATATTGTTTTCTCATATAAAACCCATTTCTCAGAGTCCCATACCTGCCAACCTACCGTATTTTTACGGGAATCTACCGTACATTTTTCGTTTTTCCGTAAAAAAATGACAAACTACCGTAAAAAAATACCATTTTTTCCCGTAAAAACGCCCGTAAAAAAATATACCGTATTTTTTCGTAATCTACCGTAAATTTTCTTTTTCAAAAACTCGTTTATTCCATGAGAATGGCCGTAAAATCTACCGTAAATTTTTGAAAATCAACCGTAAATTTTCGAAAATCTGCCGTATTTCTGCTAAAATCAACAGTATTTTTTTCAAACTACCGTAAAATTTCCCGTTATTGTTATTGGGAAATGCTGAAAATTGAAATCTTCCTGTACTGTCCCTGTAATATTCCTTCACCAACCCGAATATAAATAGGTACCGGCAGGTCTGTGGTTATCAGGTTATTGCGCATTCCTCTGAGTAAGCTTGCGTGTAATCAGTCCAAAACACCAACTACCACTAGCTAGAAGGAATTCTTTCTGCCATGATTTTTGTAGTTAACACAGATCTTTATTCCGAATGCAACAAAAATATAATTTTAGTTGCGCTTCATCTAAATAAATGAGTGGAAATGCGTATGCATATTTAGCGTACGAAATATGCGTACACTCCCCTCCATAAGTTTGGCAACCTTTTTTCTCCATTGAACTACGTGTTAAAGTCTCTTTACGTTTGATTAATGTCGATTTTCAAAAATTCATCAAATTCATCATCAATTTTCGACCTACTGTAATTGAGGAAAAAAATTGAGAAAATTTGGAGGTATTGGAATTAAAGTCAAATAACGTTTCCACCAATAGTATACGTATTTTCATTGCAGGTTAAGTAAATAAAAATTCAAAGGTAAAGAGGCTTTAACACGTAGTTCAATAGGGGAAAAAAGGTTGCCAAACTTATGGAGGAGAGTGTAGTTTGATTTGTTATGATCAGTAATGAACGCCACATATACATTATACATAGTTTAATCAATTTGTTTACAGAACGATAAAATGTTGTATTTTTCATCAGAACACATTATCAGTGACAAATACATAATTAAAAAACAAAGCATTGAGTTCTGGTTTATTATAAAAGTATTGTGATATCCGAATCTGAACGATGTCTCAGGGGAAAGGTTTCAGCAAATGCTCATAACAGATTATTTTTGAAAGACAATTTATCTGTACTTATTTTCTATTTGTGCCAAACAAACACATTGATATCATTAGAGACTTGCGAGTGAACAAATCAATATTTAATACCATGTGATTCCAATGTTATATGAACATTATGTCTGTCATTTCAATTCGTTAAAGTGATAGATCATCTAAGATGATGAGTAAAAACGTGTAAAATCCATATTTTGTATTTCAGTAAATGTTTCATTCATGGTATTTCCAAACATTCTGATATCTAAAAATCTGGTTAGAAGGTGAATAAAAGTGGAGATATGAATCTTGTGTTCGTATTTTGAATCAATCTAGATTTATTGTAAAAGAGTTGTATATGTACATTTTGCTGAAACATTAAAATCCAAAGTTGCTGTCAGTCCATTGTAGGCATGGTAAATGAAGAATAAAAAGTGTTTAGTCTCTATTTATTCTTGAAAATAGTATATCTATTTTTTCTTGAAAATAATAGTTTCGTATAATTCTCAGGTGGTAGTTCTGCTTTACAAACTGTAATTATCAAAAGCACTCTTGACTTGCAGTAATATATGTATTCACAATAACAACAACAATATGACCCCGTAAACATTGTATTAATATAGAAAACCGCATTGTATAAAGGTTTAACTACCGCATTTTTCAAAAACTACTGAAAAATACCGCAGTTTTTCAAAAAATTACCGTAAAAACTACTGCAATTTTCAAAATCTACCGTAAAACTACCGCAGTTTTTCAAAATCTTCCGCAAAAGTACCGGTTTTTCAAAAAATTACCGTAAAAACTACCACAATTTTCAGAATCTACCGTAAAACTACCGCATTTTTTCAAAATTTTCCACAAAACTACCGGTTTTTCAAAAAACTACCGTAAAAACTACCGCATTTTTTCAAAATCTACCGTAAAACTACCGCATTTTTTCAGAATCTTTCGCAAAACTACCGGTTTTTCAAAAAACTACCGTAAAAACTACCGCATTTTTAAAAATCTACCGTAAAACTACCGCATTTTTTATAAATCTTCCGCAAAACTACCGCTTTTTTCAAATTTCTACCGCAAAATTACACTTTTTTCAAAAATCTACCCCAAACCTCTGAAACTACAGTATTTTTTAAAAATCTACCGCAAAAACTACCGTATTTTTTTAAATCTACCGCAAAAACTACCGTTTTTTAAAAAATCTACCGCAAAAACTATCGTTTTTTCTAAAATCTACCGCAAAAACTACCGCAATTTTGTTGAAAAATACCGCAAAAACTACCGTATTTTGAAAAAATCTACCGCAAAAATACAGCAATTTAAAAAAAATCTACCGCAAAATTTTGGTCTTAGGTTGGCAGGTATGTAGACGAGTTTCTCAATAATCGTATACTTGCAGTTTGCGCATATAATCTTGAAAATAGTTTTAGGATTCATCTTCCATCATCGCTTAATGGAAGATTGTGCTTTTGTCTATGTCATTAATTCTTGTTGATTGTGCTTTTGTCTAGTGCTTTTGTCTATGTCATTAATTCTTGTTGATTGTGCTTTTGTCTATAGTGTAGAGGCGTAGATGTTAAATAAGCTAAACTTTTTTTGTCTGTCAAAATCCATTTGCATCCTTCGCATGCTTACATCTTATCCACATATCTTATTAATTAATGAAACACAATAGTATAATCTTTGAACTAACAAAGTTGTATGACATTTGATAAGTGTGTCATTATCAATTGGTCGCAATGCAGAATCGCATGCGTTGCGCGACGCAACGCATCGCATATATTTCCTAAAAAAACATATTACCACTTTGACGCAACGCAGTTCTGACGCAAGATTTTAGATTTTTTGAACGCAAGTGAACAAATACTTGCGATATTTTTTTACCCTGCCGCAAATCAAAACGCAAATATAGTGCATCTTTGAGTGCCGTTTGATATATTTTAGCGGTTGTTTTGTGGTGTTTTGGGGAATCATCGCATTACCTGATTACGTTTCCATCAATATTAACAAAAGTATAGTTGAATCGCATGTATATAATATCATTAAAACATACTTTTTGTTAAGCTTGTAAATCCTTCAAGAATCGTGTTTATTTCTAACTTTTAATGCGAATACGAAGTCTGCAAGTGACACTCGAAGAGAACTAAAATGTTTCATACTTTTAAATCGCCGGATTTTGAGACCTTAGGGGGACGAGAACATTGAATTGACTAGACATATAATATCTAATGGTGGTCGGATTTCCCGTAACTGATCAACAGGAGACAATTCGTCCCATTATTTCCACATTGTAACAATTGCATTTTCGCTGATATTGAGAAATCAGAGGTTGAAGTTTAGGTCTTCATAACTTTTGAATAGTAATTTTTAAAAACTTATTTTTTCGTATATTTTTTCGTATAGACTGTGTATATGTAGGCCTTGCAGGGCAAAACTCACTGGTTAACAAGAAATAAAACATATCTTTTTTATGGTTTCTTGTTTTTGAAATATCAAAATAACCCTGAAAACTGAATTTTTATTCACTTCCATTTTGTTATTGTCTGCTGGTATAACATTATTCTGCCCATCTAATTATAAAGAATATGACTCGTGTTATATTTTGACTGATAAGGTACTGGATGAGCTTGGTCCATGTTTTTGCTTACAGGATTGCATTTTTCTAATTATATATTATGTGATATATATCTTTTCCCATTGATTTTGAAAATAATAGGGTCTGGTTTTTGATTATTGCCATTTCTACCCACTGGCTATTTTTATGAGGGGGGACTATGATACTCATCAATAATATCTGTTATATACCTTCAATCACATTGAGTATAATGATTCCCGTTGACATCAAATATAATATCTCCCGTTATAAACACACACGTACGTACGTGTACGTACGGACGAACGTAGGAAGGATTACGAATCAATCACTAATTGATCATGAATATGTCCATGGTATGGTAAAACCTGCAAGGTGTCCCATTTTTCTCTAAACTGATTGACTTCCAGAGTAAAATCTATTAAAAAAGGCGCAACGGTTTTTACATACACTAATAAAAGGATATAAGAAATAATCCAAATTATACAGAGAACGAAGGGGGAGTGAATGGAATGTAGGGGGAGGGGGGTAATTGTAAAAATTCATAATAGTAATGATTTCTTCATCTAAATACATTTATTTACAACAAAAATGTTGACATTTGCACCCTGGTTGCGCCTTTCTAAAAAATCTCACACCCTTGGAGCGTACCATGTACCATTCATTTAGTGATTTATTCGATTTAACTTTTTCGTGACAAATAAAACTTGCAGATTTGTTGAATTTTCTAGCATAACTCAAATACAACCCCACCCCGTTCCTTTTTCCGATCTCCAGGCGTGATGATGTGATGAAAAGAATTACTTGATATTTGAATTAGTATTAATTGAATTAAATAATGGACGGATGGACGGAAAGACGAACGTGTGGCTTCTCTATATGAGTAATTAATGCTGGAATAAAACCCGGAATTCAGGAAAATTA